GAGAGTCCACGGGACCGAGAAGGTCCGGCTGCGGACCGCTCGCGTTCGAAGGGTTCGGCCGTAGACTGCCCGGTGGCGCCGTTCCCCCGCCCCGCCGCCTTCCCGCATGGTGCGCCCCTGGCACGCCACCGTGGTGATGACCCTGCCGTGTGAAAACGGGAAGCCCGTCCGGGTGACCTTGGAGGTGCGGAAGGTGAACGGCTCCGACGTGCGGGGCTCGATGAACACCAGCGGGCCCGTGAGGTCCCCCGTGAGGCTGTCGTCGTGGCGGGCGGCATGCGAGGTCTGCCACTGGGGCCTTCGGTGGAGCTCCCTATGGGGCCACGAAACGTGTGAGGGGTGTGCCAAAATTGGGTGGCGGCGGCATGCGAACGCAGCCATTTGGGCCTTCGGTGGAGCTCCCTGTGGGGCCACGCAACGTGTGAGGGGTGTGCCAAAATGGGGTGGCGGCGGCATGCGAACGCAGCCACTTGGGCCTTAGATGGAGCTCCCTATGGGGCCACGAAACGTGTGAGGGGTGTACCAAAATTGGGTGGCGGCGGCATGCGAACGCAGCCATTTGGGCCTTCGGTGGAGCTCCCTATGGGGCCACGAGAAACGTGCAAGGGGTGTGCCAAATATGGGGTGGCGGCGGCATGCGGACGCAGCCATTTGGGCCTTAGATGGAGCTCCCTATGGGGCCACGAAACGTGTGAGGGGTGTGCCAAAATTGGGCGGCGGCGGCATGCGGACGCAGCCATTTGGGCCTTCGGTGGAGCTCCCCATGGGGCCACGAAGCGTGTAAGGGGTGTGCCATAAATGGGGTGGCGGCGGCACGCAGACGCAGCCATTTGGGCCTTAGATGGAGCTCCCTATGGGGCCACGAAGCGTGTGAGGGGTGTGCCAAAATTGGGTGGCGGCGGCATGCGGACGCAACCATTTGGGCCTTAGATGGAGCTCCCTATGGGGCCACGAGACGTGTGAGGGGTGTGCCAAAATGGGGTGGCGGCGGCATGCGAACGCAGCCATTTGGGCCTTCGGTGGAGCTCCCTATGGGGCCACGAGAAACGTGTGAGGGGTGTGCCAAAATTGAGTGGCGGCGGCATGCGGACGCAACCATTTGGGCCTTCGGTGGAGCTCCCTATGGGGCCACGAGAAACGTGTGAGGGGTGTGCCGATGATGATGATGATGATGATGATGATGATGGTGATGATGATGACCGACAACCACGATGTGGATGATGATGATGACGATACTCATGATGATGAACATGATGAGGATGGTGATGATAATGGGAGGAGGGGGAGGGGGCAGCGGGAGGAGGAGGAACGCGGGGCACCGTCTCTTCAAAACGAGGACCCAACACCACAGGACGGTTGGGAATTATACGTTGGCAACATAACGCATATGCAGCGAGGAGCACTGTCCGGTCAACATGGTAGCCACATTCTAACGCACAGGCTGTTTCAGTCCCTGCCCCACAAGCGCACTGCGCTGCCGCAAGACTAGGCCACCCCCGAGCGCACTAACCCCCAAGCGCACTGCGCTGCCGCAAGGCTAGGCCACCCTTTCAAGCGCACTGCGCTGTCCAGCAAGGCCATGGGCCACCCCCAAGCGCACTGCGCTCGCTGCACAATAAGCACTGTGACCACACGCGCTCGCGCTGTTAGTTTCTTTCCGTATAGCCACTTTGGTAAAGGGTCCCAGCGCGCTGCGCTTCGTTATGATACCGATCGATCGGAGTCACAGCGGGGCGTCGCGGTGTCTCGCCCTCAACTAGGTGCAACGACAGCCCCAGGCTCTCCAGGTAGTGGGCTCCATAGTGGCCGTCAGCCACGGGGGTGGGGGCCTCGGAGGCGCCGGCCGGAGCGTCTGCGCCGATCGCGAAGACGCGCCCGTCTATAGCCCGTACGCACATCCAGGAGTCAGGCGCGCCATCCAGTCGAGAGCGCCCTGGGTCGCTGTCGGTCGCATCCTCACTTTTGTGGGGAACGTCTCCGAGCGCGGGCGTGCCCTCTGCAGCGATCCCAACTGTCGCCACGATCCTGTCTCCAGGAGGGGACGCGCTTTCGGACGCATTTTCGGCCTCCGCTGCGATGTTGCCCCAAGGACGCAGATAGGAGTGAGGAACAGTATGGGTGTCCGCTTGCCGGTCTTCAGGAGGGGGAGGGGTCGACACGCTGTGGCTGGCGACTTCGCGTTCGGCCCGTGGCTCTCCCGGGGGACAGTTGCGGCTAACGGCCGCAATTTCAGAGCCGAACTCCTGACTCTCTGTTTTGTGAGGAACGTCTCCGAACGCGGGCGCGCCCTCTGCAGGGCTCCCAACTGTCGCCACGATACTGTCTCCAGTAGGTGGCGCGGATTCGAGCGCATTTTCGGCCTCCACTGCGATGCTGCCCCAGGGACGCTGATAGGAGTGAGGAGCAATTTGGGTGTCCGCCTGCCGGTCTCCAGGAAGGGGAGGGGCCGACACGCTGTGGCTGTCGACTACGCGTTCGGTCTGTGGCTCTCCCAGGGGACTGTTGCGACTAAGGTTCGCACTTTCAGAGACGAACTCCTGATTCTCTATTTTGTGAGGAACGTCTCCGAGCGCGGGCGCGCCCTCTGCAGCGTTCCAAAATGTCGCCACGATACTGCCTCCAAGAAAGGGCGCGCTTTCGAGCGCGTTTTCGGCCTCCATTGCGATGCTGCCCCAGGGACGCTGACAGGAGTGAGGAGCAGAATGGGTGTAAGGAGCAGTATGGGTGTCCGCCTGCCGGTCTCCTGGTGGGAAAACGCGAAGCGTGACGAATTCTTGTTGCATCCGCTGTGCCTCTGCAGCCAGCGGGCTCTGGAATAGAATCGCGCAAGTTCCTCTCGTGACATGTCCGACAGTGCACTCACCACTAGCCTTCACATCTTTGACTAGAAGATGCTACACTGGGATAAACTCACGCATTCCAAGGTCCGCGCAGATTTCTTGGATCAGCGCTGAATCCACTTGGCGCGCTCCGCGGACCAAGGAGAGGGGTCGAGCGTCCATCAAACAAATCCGCACGGACCTCCGACAGTTTATGTTTATGCAAATTTATCCTTCGAACGACGTTGAGTCCTCATCATTCACGTCGACCACAATCGCCTCAGCCGCGTGCTCCCATGCGTGGGAGCTTCCATTCTGTGAAGCGCCCTCCCGCAGTGCCATTGGAGGAGCAGCACGTCACAAGGAGAAACGATATAGCGGCGAACCTGACAAAGCCGAGTGAAGCAGGGGTAGGAGGGAGATCTTGGTGCGGGTGGAAACGTTCCGCTGGAGGACTGCGTGAGGGATAGGCCAGTCGTGCACCCTGCCACGTCTTACGCTCAACGAGGCTGCTGCTCGGTACCACTGGGGCTCGGGCTCACCGACATTTGGCCGATTCATTACCCAGCCGCGTGCGACACAAACGTGTGTGTGTGTGGGTGTGGGTGTGTGGGTGTGTGTGTGTGTGTGTGTTCGTGTGTGCATGCGTTTGTGTGTGATTGTGTCAATGTGTGATTGTGTGTGTTTCCTAGCCGCCGCGCGCGTGGACTTTTGAATGGGCTGGAGCTGTTCCGACCCGCTAACACCCAAAAGTGTGCTGGTGTGTGTGTGTGTGTTTGTGTGCAGTGGTTTGGCTCCGTGAGGCCGTGCTCTCTGGAAAGATGCCGTGAAAGATCACACAGCTGTGGAGCAGGCTTGCAACCGACCAGGCCGCAAAGCACTTGCCATGGCCGATGGGTCATCTCATCCTCCTCTGAACGTTGGCACTGCTACTGAACGTGCACCAAGCTCAAGATCGATCAGGGCGGCCCAGGATCTAGAGCACCCCCAGCGGTTATCCACTGCCACAGCGACAGCATGCTGGAAGCACTTCCAGGGCTGGCCGCCAGCAGCGTTGGCTTCGCGCGTGGCCTGCCCGCCGGGAGCCCCTCTCTGTCTGGCCCCAGGGCGCAGAGCGTAACCAAAATCGCCCGACTGCCGCGTCCCCCCCCTGCTGGTTGATTCCAGAGAGCACCGCGTCGGTGGCACCGACATGGGGGCTAGCAGGCAACGGCTTAGAGCTTATACGATGTAAAATTGGGCTGAATATTCTTGCCTCTTGAGCTCCACCCGCAATCCCAGAACCGAATTTTCCGCTTCCGCTTCGACCGCGCTAAGTCAGCCTGCGCTGCGACCAAAAAGATGGGATGGGTCGCCCCGCTATTCCGCTTCGGGATCGGCCCTGGGGGGGAACATCGAGCTGGAATCGGCGATAGGCCCTCAATAGCGAAACCGCACGCTACCAGTTAGGGTGGGCTCTGTCGGCGATGAATGAGCGACGGGGGGTCGGTGCGCTCCTCCCCTGAGCCCATCCCCCTCTGACGTTGCCCCTGATTCTCCCGCTCTCCCACGGACCCGCCCCCATCCTGGGCCCCAGACCCCCTCTGGGCCTGAGGGCGGAAAGAGACGGCAAATGGCTCTGGACCCTTGCCCTGCCCACCTGGACGCCGCCCTGGCCGGTTTTCCGGGCCGAGTCCAGCCGGCGCCCCTCCAGCAGGTAAGACGGGCAAACAAACCGCGGCGGGTTCGTGTCCTGACTACGTGTGCGCTGGCGTCTGGTACCACGTGGATCGCTCGACCTCGAACGATCGCGGCTTTCCCACAGCACAAATTGTTCGCCATTAGCCGACGGGCCACTGGTGGCGATCACCCTTGAACGACCGCGTTGGCGTCGCCGCCGCGTCGGCACGGCGCGAACCTGCCGAAAGCGCGCGGCCAGGGAATGGAGGTTGGCATGCCTCACGTTACTCGAACATCTGGTCTTGATTCTTTACACCAGACTCCGGACGGCCCGACCCCGTTCCCTGGGGTTGGTTCTTCATCCTGCATACTTGCTGGGCGGCCCAGGAGCCCGACAACGGCCCCCTGAGGCTAAGAGCAATTGCGATCTTCTCGACGCGCTGGATGCCTCGGATCGGAGGGGCCCCGCGCGCTTCTAGGCTACGTTCACTGGGCGCTGGGGTCCCCCGTCGGGAGCGGCGCTCAGCCCCGCTCATACTCCGACCCTCGCAGCTGGAGCCTGGAGCCCTTCTTGGCGCCACGCGGCAGCGCTCCCAGCGCGACCCTGTCGAGCCGGTCCTTGGGGGCAGGATGACGCACGCCAGCCCTCGCAGACAGGCAGGTCCCTCCTCTTGGGCGACGTCACCTGGCCACCTCACCGATCATGCCTCGGCACAAGATCGGGCTGGTCAGGATCGGGGAGTTGGCCACTTGGCGTCGCCTGGTCTCCACCGCTCTTGCAGCTTCGGGGTGGCCCTGGGAAAAGACACTCCGTGCGAAAGGCATCCTCGCTCGATAAATGGGCAGGTCGGGTCCGCGGGTAGAGGGGACGCTCTCTGGCGCACACGGATCGAGAGATTTTACTCACGGCGTGGAGCTCCCCATATATGCATCTTTTTTTGTAAAAAAAGGTATTCTTGTATTTGGGACATTTAAGTTAGCGTCTAGCCATATGAGCTATATGCGCATATCATATTGTAGGGTAATGCTATGGTAAACATACGTATATGGTCTATGGTAGTTCTGTTATAAGAGATCGCCTACGTGAGCGACGAGCACAGCCGTGAAAGCACCCTTGGCGGCTCCCCTGAGGGGTGCTGAAACCAGCGCCCCGCCTGAGGCATCCTCACAATCTGCTCTCCACCATTTGAAGGATGTTGAAACGGAAACCATGCAAACCGCTTGAAACATCCCTACAAAACGGCCGCGAACGGGACCGTGCCATACTCTTTGGCGGCTCCCCTCAGGGGTGCTGAAACCAGCACACCGCTTGAGACATCCTCACAATCTGCTCTCCAAGCGAAGGATGCTGGGACAGAAAACAAGCAAACTGCTTGAGACATCCCCACAACACGGCCGCGAACGGGATCGTGTCATACCCTTTGGCGGCTCCCCTTAGGGATGCTGAAACCAGCACCCCGCCTGAGACATCCTCACAATCTGTTGTGTTGAATGTTGAAAAAGTCAGACACTGAAGAGGTCTGAGTATGAGTAAGTTTGGGTATAAGTGAGTCTCAGCATGATTAATCTGAGTATGAGTAGGTATCAGTATGAGTAGGTCTGAGTATGAGTAAGTTAGTATGATCAGGTCTGAGTATGAGTAAGTCTGTGTATGAGTAAGTCTGTGTATGAGTAAGTCTAGGTATGAGGCGGAGGAGGCGGAGGAGGAGGAGGAGGAGGAGAAGAGGGAGGAGGAGTAGGAGGCGTCCAAGTAATAACAGAAATCCCTATCTTAGGATATACGTAATACTGACATGGCTGGCAGTTTACAAATCTCCCCCCCCCCGAAGTTTGTCCTTGGCTTATGTTGTACATCCTAAGACCTTTTCCCTAGGCGATCTGGCTGCAGCCAACGATGGGCGTTTCAGATTGGGCCTGAGATCACGTGCTTCGACGAACTCTGAACACGAAATAATGCTCAACGATTCCACGCCCATGGCCGACTCAGAGAATGCGGTTGACTCTTCCATGCAAATGCGTTTCTTACAATGAGCCCACCGTGCGAAGCATCCCGCTACGCCAACATACCGCCTGGCCGATGATGCTAGCAATTCAAGCACGAGTCAGATGCAGCGAGGCGACTAAGTGCCAGAGGGGCACGGTGCATGACGGGATAATGACTGTGCGTCCACTGGCACGAAGGAGAGGCATCCTGAGGAAAGCGGGTCCTGGACCCCGCGGCTTCGCATTCCGCATGAGTCGGCGTTGGCTGCCCCAGGCCCCCGAGAGGGGCCCTGGGAGGGCTCAGGAGGGCTCAGGAGGGCCAGAGCGACAAGAAACGACTCCAAGGCTCTTTCACTCAGGAGCCCCGTGCCCTCCCGGCGAAGCAGGTGGGCGCGGGCGGCAAAAGGTGGCTTCTGAAGCCCATGGCAGGCAGTCTAGTTTGATCACCAAACGTTGCTTGCACTAGGGGTGCTTTGTCCCTGCGCGATGCGATGCGACCCGCAATGCCGCCCGGGCGGTCTTCTCAGAGGGAAAGCGCATGGGACGCGCAGCCCCGGCAACCGGGCGCAATGGAAGACGCTTCGCGCAAGTGTAACAAGGAAAGAAATGCGTCGAGACAGGCATGTGAAACCATCACGTTACAAGATTGCGACTCATGAGGGCGCCGCCAAATTGCCCGACAGCGCCTCGTGAGAGAAGGGCCCCTGCCTGCCCGTCTCCCCGCGCCTTGCCGCCGACGATGTCCAGCACCGGGAAGGCGATGGATGCGGGAGGAGCGGGTGGACACAACAGGCGACGGGGTGGGGCCACGCCACTGCTCGCACTCGTCCGACTCACGAACAACAACTAAACTTCGAATGCTTCCCCTCGCGGGCGATCGCAAGAACCTTCCTCGCGTTCACGGGCAGGTTGCCCGAGGCAGGGGGGCACGCAGCCTCGGGAACTTGGGTCCCATATGCCCATATGATCCGCAGGCAATACAACATATGAAAGGTTCAACCACTTTACCATAACATGCCCAAGGGGAAAAAAAACACTATAACTCAAACTCCTCGTCCCCGCCCCTGGCACTGGGCACCGAGCGCGGCCCGCCACCCGGACCCCCGCCACCGCCTGACGATCCCGAAGGGCCACGCACAGCCATCAGGAACCCTGAAGCCCCAGATAACGCCAACTGAACCGCCTCGGGTCTGGCCAGGGCAACCCACCAGGGCTAAACACCAAACGAACACGCCCTATCTGCAGCGGAGACGGGTCACGCGCGCGGCCGTGTCCTTGGGTCAGCAGCTTTGATAGTCGACTCGGTTCTCGCCTTCGCAAGGCATGACCTGCACACCAGGAGCCAGTCTTTCGGAAAACATGGTCCTGGAAAATGAGCACCGCGGGCGCACAAACCAATAGGTTCGTCGCACCTAGCTTCTCACGGAGCGCCTCGAGCTGCTGTCCCACCAACTTCTTGTGGCCCGCAGACTCCGCGACCACTCTTAAACGAAGGCCACTGTGCCTGCCAGCTTCAAACTCAACGTGGGGGCCCCGTGTATTCGCGAACAAATCGGACCACATGTTTCCGAACCATCATTCAAAGGGCTGGTCGCCTTTGCACAGGAATTCCTCCAGAAAGAGAAACGCAGTAACGCATGCGAACACAAGCGGTTTCCATCCACGGCGGCCCTGGGCAACATACTATCCTGGCGAAGGACCCAACCATATGAAGTTGTGAATATTTTCTTCGGTACAGCTCCCTATGGGGCCACGACGCGCTGCGCTCGGCGGGGGGGGGACCCACGCGGGCGGTAGTACTGGGGCCGTCGGTGAAGCTCCCTATGAGGCCACGAAACGCTGCACTGGGTGGGTGAAAATACCAAATTAGGCGTGTGGGATGCACGCGGGCGGTCCCATTGGGGGCTTCGGTGGAGCTCCCCATGGGGCCGCGAAGCGTTGTAAAGGGTGGTTGCCCCCCCCCAGATCATACATCTCGTCTTAGCTCAGCTTAGCTTAGCGCAGCGCAGCATTAGCATAGCATAGCGCAGCATAGCATAGCATAGCGCAGCATAGCATAGCATATCATAGCATAGCTTAGCTTAACGTAGCACAGCGCATCATCGCATCGCATTTCATATCATATCATAGCACAGCATAGCGCAGCATAGCTTAGCATAGCACAGCATAGCATTGCTACTACTACTACTACTACTACTACTACTACTACTACTACTACTACTACGACTACTACGACTACGGCTACGACTACGACTACGACTACGACTACGACTACGACTACGACTACTACTACTACTACTACTACTACTACTACTACTACTACTACTACTACTACTACTACTACTACTACTACTACTACTACTAACTACTACTACCACTACTACTACTACTACTACTACTACTACTACTACTACTACTACTACTACTACTACTACTACTACTACTACTACTACTACTACTACTACTACTACTACTACTACTACGACTACTACCACTACTACTACGACTACTACTACTACTACTACTACTACTACTACTACTACTACTACTACTACTACTACTACTACTACTACTACTACTACTACTACTACTACTACTACTACTACTACTACTACTACTACTACTACTACTACTACTACTACTACTACGACTACGACTACGACGACGACGACTACTACTACTACTACTACTACTACTACTACGACTACTACTACTACTACTACTACTACTACTACTACTACTACACAAACTACTACTACTACTACTACTACTACTACTACTACTACTCCTACTACTACTACGACTACACCTACTACTACTACTACTACTACTACTACTACTACTACTACTACTACTACTACTACTACTACCGCTACTGCTACAATTGCGACGATGGGGAGAAGAAGGAGGACGGCGTTTACCGTTACTACTAATATTGCTCTCCTCGGGGCTTCAACTCTTCGGGGCTGCTGTGGGGTAATTTTCAACTTCAGCTTGGGGAGGGAGCCTGTTGAGTATCGGTTGGTGTGTTGGAGACGGAGGGTGTTGAGTACTGGATGGTGTGCTGGAGACGGAAGGAGTTGAGTATCATATCATTTTCAAGTTCAGCTTGGGGAGGGAGCTGGTTGAGTATCTGGTGGTGTGTTGGAGACGGAGGGGGTTGAGTAGTAGGTTATTTTCAAGCTCAGCTTGGGGAAAGAGCTCGTTGCTCCCCTGCCGCCTCCCCCCCCCAGCACCTGTCTCTGTGCCTCCCGAATCAAGACAGAACGCGCGCGTGCACCGTGTTTGGCGCCAATGGTGCACGGAAACGCTGTGTATCTTTGTTTGTTTTTATTTTTTTGGTCAGCGAACCCACGAAACATTGTGTTTTTTTTGGGGGGGGGTTGCAAGCCCCCGTGCCCGCCGCGGCCTCCCTCCCAACACCCCTCTCTCTGCCTTTCAAAACAAAAAAAACAAGCATACACAGTGTTTCGTGGTTTCGCAAACCAAAAAAAACAAAAACAACTAAAATACACAGCGTTCCCTTGCATCGGTGGCGCCAAGCATTGCGTGTATATATATATAGAGAGAGAGAGAAAGAAAAAAAAGAGAGAGAGAGAGAGAAAGATATATATATAGAGAGAGAGAGAGAGAGA